GGTTTTTTTATGAAAAAGATGTCGTTTACAGTAAAAATTTACTGACAGACAGATGCCGGATGGACGCCGGATGTAAAGCGATCACAAAAGCTCATTATGTCACTTTGTGACAGTCGTGAGCTACAAAAGTAAATAAATAAAACATTTTCACATTTCATTATTTTCAGTTTGCATAATTATATCTGTCCTTTTAGTCATACAATAATTGGCTAATAATTTAAACACAAGCTATTTGAAAACGTGCAACAACTATTCATGCATAAGCCTCTTGACAGTTAAATACATTAACGTAAGATGAATAAGACTGAAAATAAATGCAAGAAGCGTACCATTAATCAAATCCACATTTTTGCCTCAACGATTGTGTAATTCCTAAATGAAACAAAAAATTACAGACTCACTAAAATTAGTAAAAATAGGTTAATTAGACATGGTTTTGCCACAGGTGCTTGTCCAGTCTTGGTGCTCATATAAAAAAAATTGAAGTTAAACTAGAACTGCCACTATCATGGCGTGAATACCCCCGCATACCACTTTGTCAGAATCAACAGTGGCCATTTAGAGCTCAAGGACAACCTCCCTGCCAAATCTGAGGATACTAAGCCAGTGCATTGCTAAGTTATGTAGTCTACATGATTCAAATGTGATAATGTCAAAATCAATACATTGCGGACAGGACATTCTTTAGCAATTGAGAAGAAAAGCTTTTTTTGTCAAGGTCCCTGTGACCTTGACCTTTGACCCAGTGACCTCAAAATCAAAAGGGGTCATCTACTAATCATGATCAACATCCATGTCAAATATGAACACTGTGGGTCAAAGGAATCTAAAGTTATTGGGCAGACAAAGTTTTTGAAGTCAAAGTCCCTGTGACCTTGACCTTTGACCTGGTGACCTCAAAATCAATAGGGTCATCTACTAATCATGACTAACCTCCATGCCAAATATGAAGACTAAGGGTCAAAGGAATCTTAAGTTATTGGGCGGACAAGCTTTTTGAAGTCAAGGCCCCTGTGACCTTGACCTTTGACCTGGTGACCTCAAAATCAATAGGGGTCATCTACTAATCATGACTAACCTCCATGCCAAATATGAAGACTAAGGGTCAAAGGAATCTTAAGTTATTGGGCGGACAAGCTTTTTGAAGTCAAGGCCCCTTTGACCTTGACATTTGACCTAGTGACCTCAAAATCAATAGGGGTCATCTACTAATCATGACTTACCTCCATGCCAAATATGAAGACTAAGGGTCAAAGGAATCTTAAGTTATTGGGCGGACAAGCTTTCTGAAGTCAAGGCCCCTGTGACCTTGACCTTTGACCTGGTGACCTCAAAATCAATAGGGGTCATCTACTAATCATGACTAACCTCCATGCCAAATATGAAGACTAAGGGTCAAAGGAATCTTAAGTTATTGGGCGGACAAGCTTTTTGAAGTCAAGGCCCCTGTGACCTTGACCTTGGACCTAGTGACCTCAAAATCAATAGGGGTCATCTACTAATCATGACTAACCTCCATGCCAAATATGAAGACTAAGGGTCAAAGGAATCTTAAGTTATTGGGCGGACAAGCTTTTTGAAGTCAAGGCCCCTGTGACCTTGACCTTTGACCTAGTGACCTCAAAATCAATAGGGGTCATCTACTAATCATGACTAACCTCCATGCCAAATATGAAGACTCTGGGTCAAAGGAATCTTAAGTTATTTGGCGGACAAGAAAAAACCGAAGGACGGCCGGACGGACGGACGGCCAGACAGACGGACAAGCTGATTCCAGTATACCCCCCTTACAACTTTGTTGTGCGGGGGTATAAAAAAAATTGAAGGTTAAAAAAAAAAAACTGTTCTGGGTTAAAGTGACATTATGCCACTCTAAAGGTATATAGTAGGTGAACAGGTGAGAGTCACAATATTTTTTTTTAAATTTACCATAATTCCTTTTGATTTAATGATTCACTTCGCAATAACAATAAATAACCACCGGATTCAAGCGAAATTTCAGTAAATATCATTTAGAATTTACCTGTAACGTTCAATTTATAAAAAGAGTGGGGCAGTCTTTTTATACTTAATGCAGATTTTAAATTTTCTCCTAAGGCTAAACATTTTCTAATATAATCTGTTGGTCAAACATCATTTAAACAGTCAATCTTTTAAAATATAAAGTCAATTCAGCTCAACTTGACATTGATAATATGAGCATAATTTATCCTGCTACTGTCTATATCGCCGGATAAACTTATCTATCTCCAGTCATTACTTCATATGATGACGTCACATGTTTAGCAGCAAAACAAAACTACATATAGATGCTATTTTATCGGGGAAAAAGAAGAATGAAGCCATATTATTATTCTAATAACATTATTAAAAGCAGGATAAATCAAATACATGGTTGATGTCGGTCTGGAGAAGGTTTATCCGGTTCGCTGCGAAAGTGAATCTTGCCTCGCTAAAGCTCGCCAAGATACACTTTCTCGCTCACCGGATAAACCTTTTCCATCCCGACTTCAACCATGTATTTTCTATGTCACTTTAAGTGAAAGAAAAAAAATGAAAAAAAAATTTATTTTTTTCCTATATACCATTACAAAGAAAAGGTCACCTAGTCACCGTAATGCTGTGGAGCTTTATCCTGCTACTGTCTATATCATCAGCTGGATAAAGCCTTGCCGGATAAACTTATCTATCTCCAGTCATTATGTCACATGATGACGTCACATATTTAGCAGCAAAACAAAACTGCATATAGATGCTATTTTATCGGGGAAAAAGAAGAATGAAACCATTTAATTGTTCTAAAAACATGATAAAAAGCAGGATAAATCAATACATGGTTGATGTCGGGATGGAGAAGGTTTATCCGGTTCCCTGCGAAAGTGAATCTTGGCTCGCTAAAGCTCTCCAAGATACACTTTCTCGCTCACCGGATAAACCTTCTCCATCCCGACATCAACCATGTATTTTCTATTTACTAGGACACGCTGTGGAACAACCACAATGTGGAGTAACAATACAAGTTATAGAAATGTGATATATGATAATAATAATAATAATTTTGCTACTCTTACATCATGCATTTATGGGCACCAAGCAGGGTTCTCACTAGGACTTTAAAACATGGAGTCCATGGACTCCCAACCCTGAAAAAGTTGGAGTCCAAAAGCGCGTCGCAATTAATATGTTTACAGATTAGTCATTCAATGCTCAAAATAGCATTGCTGATATTTTGAATCTTCAAGAGACTTCCAAAGTTTATAGTTATTCAAAAGAAACTCTGAACTACATAGTATAATTATTGTTTTGTTGTTAGTATTTATTATGAAATTATTTCATTATAATGCATCAACACATGGAAATCGTTTTTTTGTTTTTTTTCACTTTTTATACCAAATCAAATTTTATTCTGGTTAAATAAGTCCACTCTAAAGACAAAAAATTATATTTGTAAAAAAAAAACTGTAAATGTATATAGGCAGCGTTTAGCGGAATGAATAGGAAAATCGTGTACAGCTTCACACAGTGTGTAAGAGATTCATCCGATCGACAATTATTTTAGCAAATATCTTCAAAAGGGGGCAAATTTGAAGATCAATATTTAAAGATTTAATGTTGATTAAATAATAAAGGAACAATTCATTCGCATGTTTGGTTTGGAAACGAGAATTTTTGCGAAATTTTAGGGTTTCTGGCGAACGTGAAATCGCCGATGTTCGGGATCATTTTCGGATAGAATCTAAATATCAAAGAAAAGCGTATGTGTATTTTGGTTTTTTTGTCCTGGCATTTCGGCACAATATCTTAAATTCTTAATACTCTTATAGAAAGTTTTTTGCAAGAATGAAACTAAAGCAAAATTGTGCCTAGAAAATGCCAAAAAATATTCGACAATCATTCAAAATTACACTCATTTGTAATTTGAGAAAAACAGTCTTTTAAAACTTGCGGCGTAAATAGTCGATAATTTTATCCTTTTGTCGTAAAATTTGCTAATTTCCAATCAACTGTTGATCAAAGATATAAAAATTATCACCTCGTGTTATATCTGGTAATTACATGTACTGTACAGCGCGTGTTTAACTATTGCGTGATAATGATCGGAGGCGCTATCGCTGATTGGCTTATCGCTTCACGGGTCGATGTGCATAGGACCGCCTACCTATAGACTGACACGCGCTGACGCATTTGTGTATTTGTGGTTGTAAACAATCGGTAATTTTATGCGTCCCCAGGCAAAATTGAGCGTACGTGGAATCCTTGCTCTGAAATATTTGCGTCCAGCTGTAATAAACATGCGTACCGGGACGCCGAAATAAGCGTCCCCGAGAACCCTGGCACCAAGACTGGACGAGCACCTGTGGGTTTTGCCACATCTCAAATGATCCAGTTTAAATGATTCTGCCAACCCTTAATCTTTATCAGTGCGGCACTAATGAAAGAAAATCAAAGGCTGCGATGATTTCATTCATGTAAATTTACTAGGTCGTTTTGAGAGGTAGTGTGTAATACCTACTGCCAAATTATGAAAGATGTAAATTGTTGAGCACACAGTGACAACATGTGTTAAGTAAAACATGTGAGAATTACTTTGTGTGATGGAACTGTTTATTATGTCTCTTTGCTGTCAATTAAGGGTCTATCGTCTACCGAATTCACTGAAACACACATTTGAACAAAAGAATTTGAAACCATGTAAAATGATAGGTCCTTTTAAAAACATCCATATCAGAATACATATAAAAGGCATGAGGCTATCACCAATATAATAAATATGGTAATCAGGGTTCCCGCTGTCGCTCGCCAATGGCGCCAAATGCGACAAAATATTAATTCTGGTGCATAAAATCTTTAATTGGCGAATTTAACTGGCGCCAACGTAAGATAAAATCATCCGACAACTAGTACACTAAAATGTCGTAAGCGGCCGCGCTAATTACATAAGCGGCCCAAATGTGAAAGGTCATGCACTATTAGTTTGTTTATCAAACTGTATAATCGGGTACCATATAATCAATTATGTCATCAATTGTGTGACACTTCGGGGACATGTGAAGATGAAAGTGTCAATGTGTTAATTGGAGCAATTTACGTCTTTCATTCTCTGACTTGGAGCACTGATAATTACATGTGTGGTCAACAGTGTTAATAGCGATCAGAGAAGTGAAAGATCGTCCGTGATGTTGACAAACATTGAACTTTAGGTAAGTTGACTTGTCAACTGATTAAAAATAATTACAGTTTGAATATTAAATCGTTATCGGGTGACAATTAAAAGAGTAATTTCACTAATGATTGATCTAAAGCCACTGTAACTGCAATGTTAATATTTTCATATCTGATTGTAAAGTGCTGAAGTGTCTATTCACATGCAAACCCTATTAAAGTTAACAATATTTTTCATTGTTAAAAATACTTAGCATCTATTTCATATTTTGTTCTCATTGATTTTTAGATGAAGTCAATTTATAGTAATGTTTTTTTTTTTATTTTGTATATGTAGATCACCAGATTGTCGGGTAGAAGCTGGGAAAGATCTTGGCTCAGTCCAGCCTGTGAGAAGAACTGCTATACTGGCAATACAGTGGAAAACAGGACCTCCCATGACAAACTTAACATGATGTTCTTGATTACATTTATGCTGTCATTTGTACATAATGTATTTATTTAAATGGAATTTGAAAACCACATAATAGTATGTCTATAATTTAGATAATAAACATGTGCAGTTGTAATAAAATGAAATATCATAAATATGTGTTTGTAATCATAATGATATATAACTGCTAGCATATCGTAGCAAAGATAGTCATGTCTCCCTTGCAGAATTATTGGCTCCAACTTTGGAGCCATTGGCTCCAACTTTTTCTGATTCGCGAATTTGTTGGCGCAAACTAATTTTGACCCAGAGGGAACCCTAGTAATAAGACACTTATGACACCTAAACCAATAAAAATAATGCAATAAATGGGTAGTCAGACTATTCTCTCCCTTACCAGTTCCTCCCCTGACGTTTCCTCCCTGACGGTTCTCTCCCTATTTTGGGGGAGAACTGTCTGCATATTTGCAAATTAGAAGACAGTTCCTCCCCATTCTTATTTTTATAATTACATTATTATTATAGTATTTAGATGATAAATAAATGGGTAAGTTTATTATCAATTGATATAAATTAGAAAAAAATAGATTTTATTGAAGTGTTTAGCTGTTAAATAAATGGGTAGGTTTATTATTAATTGATATAAATTAAAGAGAAAAATACTTCAATGAAGTAATTCAGATGTTTAATTCAGTGCTCTCCATAAGCCCCGGCGGTCGGCGAAATCGCCGACTACTTCACAGTCTACCGCCGGCTACTTTTGCCAAACCATAAAATAAAAAATCTCCAAAAAATCCCTCGTGGTTTTCTTTTTTTTCCTGGTGGTTCGCCGAATCGTAAACAAAAACAATATGTGGAATCCCAAGCATGTTATGCGCATACAGGTAGCGCATCTATTTTTATCGTCCTATAATATTGGCGCGCACTGATCGGATTTTTTTTACTGTTTCCGTCTCGTTTCGGGATTAACAATCGGAACCAATGCGGTAACAGAAATCGACTCGTCTCTTTCCGTAAGTTTACGTTATCCAATGATATTTCGTTAATTGTATGTCACGGATACGCATGCCGTAACGGGTGTGGGAATTAATGTCAAAACTGTCAAAATGTCAGGCCCTCCGAAGAAGAAAATAAAGACAATCGGAGGACAACAAACGCTTCATACGCTTTGGAGAAAAGAACAGGGTACTTTGATGACCTTTTTTTCTAGGTTTAAATCATTTGTTGACAAAGTAAAAGCGTAATTGTAATATATTTTAATGTCAGTTTGACCTACGAGGCTACGTCATTGAATGTTCGGTACGAGCGAAATTTAAATTGTTAGAGCGAAATTTAAATTGTTACAATGTTTTTCTATATAATTTTAATTGATTTGAACATGATTTGATATTTATTTCACGAATAAAAATATCTTTATGCCAGTTGGTAGCTTGTTTAAAATCTATGCATGACTACTGTACTGGTTGGAGACCACCAAAACCGGACAACCATCAAACCCGGACGGCCCCGAAAATGCTTAATATAGTGTTTTTTCTTTGTTTAGTGGTTTACGATCTATCAGTCACTTTATTATCAACATGCATGTTTCTTTTATGATTAATAAAATTTATTTCAACTTCCGTAAACGGTAATACGTTAGTGTCTATTTCAAGAATGTTGACGCTGAAGATTGGGGCATCAAGAGTGCAATACGTGACCTCATATACCACCTATAATCATTTGCAGAGTAAACAAAAGAATATCCAAAATTTCAGCATTTGCTGCTGATATATTGTATATCATGTTAAAAATAAAAAAATTAAACACCCAAGCTTTTGTCTGAATTAAATCACGTCATGTACATATCCGTCCGGACACATGGTACTGTAGTGTGGGCAATTTAGGTTATTTTGATACCCCCGACCACAGGCCTCAGATAAAAGTGTCAATATAATCAGAAATAAACAAACTAGTTTGTTAGTTAGGAGAAGAACCTAGCTGTACTGTGTCAAATTTTCAGGTCTTTAGGGTTGAAATTATTAAATCTGTATAGAAAAATGTTCAAAAAGTGTCCGGTTGATGGTCCCCGACCAGTATAGTAAGGAAAACACAGGTAGATCTCTATGTACAGCTATAGGCTTTAATATAAAAATTAAAATATGAAATATTTCTTTCAAAACTTATTGCCATCCTTTTTTCATAATATTGTAGAATTGTTATTTTTGCAAAAGTATTAGATCATTTTTAAAATATTTGTACAATCCTTTTAATACATTAAATATACTAGAATTAACATAAAAGATACCGGTATAGACCCTATAGATAATGTATAGAATTAATCTTATTAAAATATCACAGCCATGTAAAAGATCCAAAGTCATAACAGATCACTAAAAGAATTATAATATTAGAAAATATTATGCATAGTAAGACAAATAATATTTTAAATCTAAGCAGCCTGGTCTTATTTCAACTTTACTAAAATTCAATTCCTGTATTATGTATATTTGATATTTTTATATAAAGTCAATATGCTGCTGTATGGAAACTTATATTACATGTATTCTAATTCTTTTAACAGACAACCACTACCACAACCCTCTCAAGACGTTGAATGCAATGTTGAGGTTGAGACACAGAAAGCTGTATCTGAAGCAGATGACTATCAAAATGCCCTTCATGCATTAGCCATGGATGACTCAGGTTCCGGCCTCGAATCAGGCTCTGATGATTGTTTTAAGTTGTTAACTATAAAATGTTCATTAAACTGAGTTAAAATTTATTTGATTTTTCTGTTCAATTTCAGTGTCTGAGCAAACCTTCCCAATAAAAAAAACCAGGTCAGACAGTACCTAAAAAATGTACCAGAATGCACCAAAATGCAGGATTTAGCATCTTTAAAAGCAAAATTTTCCGGGGGAGGCCCCCCGTACCCCCCCAGCGGGAGGGGAAACCCCTCCCGCACTCTCCCCCGCCTCGCCGCTGCGCGGCTCACGTTAAAACGCATTAAACTTTCACCGTTTACTTTTATTTGGCCACTGGCTACTTTAGAACTTATGGAGAGCACTGTTAATTCAAGTTTCAATTTTGTTAGCATCATCAGCAACAATAAATCTGTAAGTTTATTATCAAAAATTAATATAAGAGAAAAAAAATATTTTATTGAAGTATTTAGATGTTTAATAAATTTGTAACTTTATTATCAACTGATATTAATTGAGTTAGAATTTTTTTTTTAACATAATTATAATAGTAATTGATCAATGATGATATTAGTTCATTATTCTGATTTTTTAATTAGATGTAATAATGTATACTTTTTAATGTGTTTAGTCATTGAAAATAATTAATGAATAATTTACTTGATTAGGATAATCATAATATATTTTTTTTTAATAAATAAAAATGAAATTTATAGGCAAAAAATGATTAATAAATTTTAATTGCTAAACTTTTGTATAATGAAAAAAGGAGTTCAATACACATGTGTAAGCTTTAAGTTTGCTGTCAGTGATATTTGAGGTGTTTATTAATTCATTACTTAAGAATCAAGGTGTTGATTAGATTAAAATAGCTGTGAAAAGGTGTTGATGAATAAGTATTATATTATTAGTTATTTGGTATTATATATTGTTTCAAGTTAATGACTACATGTTTTTAAATCAATTTCGTAAAAAAGTAAATGTGGAATGTGTTTGCATACCAGTTGTTGTTTATTTATTTTCTGGAACTTACTTGTTTCCACCTTATTCACTATTTAACAAATGAATGAACATCACAAGCTAGACATTAACAATAAGTACAGGTGTATATCAATCACTGTCCAATGATCTGTACCTCTCAAAATAAAGGTGTTGATAGGATTAAAATAATGAAAAAAGGTGTTAAATTTACAAACACTTTTCAGCTGATAAACATAAAACATAAAATGCAGTTAATATCAAACACATTCTTTTAATAAACTTCATTAAGAAATATTATTAGATTAAGTCAAAACTAAAATGATAACTTATAAAAATAAAATTGGGGGAGAACTGTCTGCATATTTCAAATTTGGGAGAGAACCGTCAGGGGAGGAAACTGTTAGGGAGAGAACCGTCAGGGAGAGGAACTGGTAAGGGAGAGAATAGTCTGTCATTCCAATAAATGTTGTGATCCCATACTAAACAACTAATGCAATTCGTAGCAAAGTGAACTTACAGTTTGTTAAAACTTTGATCATACTATAAAGTGTTGCAATTTAAAGAGTAATAAATCAATACAAAATAAGAAAGAGCCAAAATTACATGGTCGTTCTTTAAAAACTTAGAAAGACGCCATTTTTCTCGTCCAGTCAAAATGTAAACATTTCGGCGTTCCTTGTTTTGACGCAAGCACATTATCATAAACAATCATTTTACACATAATACAAGAAAAAATATTCCTTTACCTAAATAGTAATATACCTTCAATGATCACATCATAATTGCGATAAAACTTTCAATAATTTTGATTGAGTAACCCATGAATACTATAATTTTTCTCATTCATCGAGGCAATTTACTGTAGATTACTCCGCGAATGTCAAGAACAGTAACTCATCCATATACATTGATAAAAAAAATGTTGAATTTTTAAAAATAGATATGGCAGTACTAAAACAATCTGTAATAAAGTCTCAAAAATGTTCATTTAACTGACATAAAATTAGTACATAATTTTTTTTTAATTATTTTTGGACTATTTTTTCAGTGTATATTTGTCGCCGGTCGGTGGATGTCCTTTGGTTACTTCCTGTAAATTTTCCCATGCTGCCAATCTGATGTTTTGATTAATTTATACCGTTTTGCAGCCTACACTATAAACAATCGAGGTAAGTTTTGCTGCAGTTTTAAACCTTTTAAGATCCTTTTTAATATGTATTTAATGATTTAGTGAAATCGGCAAGCGATTTCAACAGGTAAGGATAGTCTATCTATCTATCTATCTCTGAGTACTGCCAACCCCTCTCGCGAGTGTTATAGGCAGGAAATTGTGCGCGTCGGTGTGTTAGTAAAAGGTGTGAGAGAAAGTAAAAGCCTGAAAATGAACATGATCAGTATGGCTGTAAACAAAATGGTAAACATTAGACATGAATGAATTAAAATGTAATCAAGTAGAACAATGTAAACAAGTATGGTGGAAAGTAAAGTCCATGTTATCTTTTTACCGAGTATTTTTCAAGAAAAAAAACTTATATCAACCCTGTGAAAGACATTTCATATTGCTATCTATAATATTGTGGTGTAAGTTATGGGTATTTATCAAAAGGACAGTAATAAAGTAAGAAAAAGGTTGTTTGGGCAGCCTTGTGGGAGAAACAGCTGTTATGCTAAAAAAAAGGAGAAAGCTTTCCTTTTGAAAAGACAGGAGAAAATATTTATGTTTAGAAATGAACCTAAAGATCATAAATAATATGAAATTAGGTGCTACCTATGGCGCGGAAAGTCATGTACATCTTCATGTAAATTATGCAGTATCAAAGAAATTATCTATCTGAATTATATTGATAATATTGACATTACCTCTGAACAAAATTATCTGTTGAATTGGTCCGTACTGGTGTGCGTACTGGTGTGCTGAACTTCTCATTCTGATCTGAAGAATAATTAAATTAATAATTTACAGTATACAAAAAAATAAAAAACATAAAATTGAAATAAAATCAATTTGTTTATATTGTGGTACTGATCAAATTATGTGATTTTATAATACATCAAGTGTTTTTGAAAGAAATCAATTAACAAAATATCTTAAATAATTGATTAAATAATAATATCAGTGTTTCAGTTTTTTTTTTTAAATATTACCTTTTCCATTGTCTTATTCATTGCTAAAGTCCATCTTCACAGCATAATTTGTTGGCATATTTTGGCATATATATAGTACTTAAAATACTCATGAATGTTGCAAAAAAAATGATAACAATCAGTGATGAAGAAGGGAATTTCATTAGATTTTTTGTTTCATTTTTTAAATATTCTGGTTTTAAAGATAATAAACCTTGAAAATTGAATTATACTTTTTTGTTTAAGAAATGTTTCTGGTGGTTAGAGACTGACATGTCCCACACTACAGAACATTTATCAACATTTAAAAAAAAACAAAGAAAAAAAACAACAACAAAAACATGTAAATATATTGTAAACAAATATATATTTTGAATATTTACATTATGTAACACAATGTAATGGTAATAGTGAATCTTATTAGCATTGATAAAAATTGTAATAAGAAAATTGCAATTGTCATTTAAATTATAATTTATATATAATTATTAAATATAGCTGGTATTTAAATATAGCTGGTATTTAATAACGATAGATTTATACTTTTTAATTAAATGTTTCTGTTGGTTAGAGACTGACATGTCCCACACTACAGAACATTTATTAACATTAAAAGACATTCACTTATGTAAGCAAATTTAAATTGAAATTTTGATGATTGCCCTTAAGATGCATGTATTTAACTAATGTGTAACAGGAATATTTTTTATCGTTTAAAGTCCCAAGATCTTTCAGTATCGGAGTCATTTTCGTAACAATCAGTTAAATCATTTTCTACAGAATGACAAAGAAATGTAAACCATTTTCTCTTTAGATGTTCATCTGCATGAACAACATCATACAAATTTTTATATGATATAACTTTTGTTTTCTTTTTAAATTCACCATTTCTACCTCTCTTTTTAGTTTTACAACACAAAAGGTCTCTGTCCCACCTTACAGAATGACATTTATAAATTCTGTTAAGATCTGAAATGTAGGTATTTATTGCTTCTATTACATTTTCAAGGTATGTTTGTTGTGCTTCTGTTTCAGATGTTTCATATATGGAATATTTTAGTTTTCCTTTAGAAAGGTTAAATTCAGAATATGCTGGTGGAATATGAGCCATTTTGTATTTGATAATATTGTCATACATTTTTTTATATAAGACAGAATCTGATATTTCATTTTTAAAAGTCAAGATATCGTGGTCATCTTTTGTATAACAAATTTCAGTTCCAGCTTCATGTGCAATTTTTGTTGTAAAGTCGCAAATGCCTGCAGCAATTATGCAATTTATTTTTACAATACAATTTCTTTCTCTAATTCTATCAATTTTAGTTTGAACAGCATTTGCTAATGTTGAATGTTTTGCACCTGGTATTATTATTGTATGAAGTTCATAAGAACTAAAACGTTGTGAAGAAGAAATAAATTTATCAAGGCCACGCCCTCTTGAATCAGTTGCAAATATCAGATGATTCATCTGTGAAAAGAACAAAACAGAAAAAGTTTTTCATGTGAAAAAAACTACATAGTATAAATATATTAAAATGTATTTATATGACAATATTTAAAGAAAATTTGACAAACTTTAAACCAATTCCAAGAACTGTGATCAATTAATGTTAAAAGTATTGATTACAAATGTGAATATTTGATGATAAAATTTAGGTTAATAACCATAAAAGTAAATATGCAATATGAATAACATGAGTGTTTGAATTACATATATATACATGTGATTAAGTAATAAAAGCATGCTAGTAAGAAAAAAATACATTGAAAATATTCAAAATGAGCAACATATGGGTGCTGGTAGGTGTTTAAGACTTTAAATTCTTTTTATTAGTGTCTAAATAAATTGTTGATATACAGTTTTGTAGCTATTCATGGTGTTAAATTCTAAATCTAGACAGATACTTTTAATCAGTGGTGAAATATCATGATGACATTCAATGTCATGGAATATTTTGAAAAGAAACATAGAAATAATAAACATGTCATCAATTAAACAGGGTTCGACACTAACTGTTTTTACCAGGGATCCCATAGGAATCCCTGAGATTTAATTCAGGGATTCCTCCTAAATGTCAGGGATTCCTCAGATCAAAATAGTAAAATATGGAGGTGAAGAATAACAAGGGATTGCAGCAATTCGATTTCAAATTCTTTTCATTTTTGAGACTACATACAGGATATATTGTCTTGTTTCAGATGCAGAAAATGTAGTTTCTAGTTTATGAGCTCTTTGGAAATAATGCTATTTAAAGTT